ACTATACACCAATAGTTTTTGTAGATGATGAAAGAGATGATCATTGAGGAAGAGTGCCAAATGGCCTCAAAGTAACTTCATTACTCTTCCAGAAATTAGACCTAGAATGCACAATTTTGCTGAAAATAAAAAGTGCCATCAGTGTTTTTTTTCTCACTGCATCAGTGAATAGAATATAACCATTTAGCCTAGCCTAATCAATTATAAAAACAATTAAACTGGATATAAATTGACTGAGCTAGTCTTGAATCAAAGATTTTTTTATTTTTTTTTTACATTTAAGCATGGCCTTACCTTGAGGAGAGGCAGGTAACTTGCATAGTTCTGTTGTCACTCAGCATGTTTTTCTCTATTTTTGCACATTCTTAATTCGTGGCTGCAAATTCGAGATTGACAGAAAACATAGAAAATGTTTGTAGAAGAATTTATTTGCATTTATTCATTTCCTAATAGCTTACCTTACCATAAAGTAACTAGCCGCCTAGCCTTGAAGATGCTAAGTTCGTCTACATTCTAATTTCAAACGTAGCACGAGCAAAAATAGTAAGAATGTGTCCTTGCAGATAAAATAAGAAAATGTCATCAAACAACATGACTCCTCCTCTTCAGTCGATGTTTGTCTCACTTAAGCTAAATCACTCCGAGGCCTTGTTGAAATAAAAGATTGGCCCGCTGCAGTTATCACTATAGTCATCACAACACTACGTCTTGTACGGGTTCATGCATAATAGGCTTTTATTCATCTACTCGTGTTGAATGTTATTTGTTTGGGGTTGGCAATATTTACTAAAAATATAATTATATTGACAAAATAGATGTATTTTTTGCAGCATTTTTCTTTTTCATTCATTCTTTCTTTCTTTTTTTTTTTTTTTTTTTTTTTTCTAGATAGCCTACTTGAGATTAAAATTTTGTATATCTTCTATACAACAATCACAAAATAATTTGATATATCGCTCAATGATCACTCATATATTAGTTGTATATGTACTGTCTTTGTTGTATTTCTGCCAAGGAGAGACAGCTCTGACCTACAGCACTGATCAGGAGCAGAATGAAAAGAGTCCTGAGGAGGACCCCTGAGGTGCCCCACAGTGAAGCCCATCAGGATATATGGACAAAGTGCAGTTTTTTTCAGTGCTGTGTAAGTGAGTTAGAGATCCTGAGCGAAACGTCTCTGTGCGTCTGCCTAAATGAGTTAGTATGTGTCTAGCACGGCAGCACACGGACAGCAGGTGATGGATGGGGCCCCGCGGAGATGAGCTGTAAAAATGGCTGATTCTGGCACTCAAGGGTGAGATCACTTCCTCAATAAAAATGTATTGTCTCGAATCATCAAGGCTATATATGAATGTTGATTAGGTTATTAGACAAATGGGAGTTAATCGTAATAATAAAAAATAATAAAAAAAGATGCCATCTTATAGTAACTGTAAAAATCATGACCTAGGGATCATTCTGTTGCCCCTTTCTTAAAGGTCTAGGTATACTCAAATGGTACTTATTATGTTGCCCTGAAATTAACTTTGAACAAACTGATGGGTTGTTTTGGTGGTTAAATTCTCATTTAGGTAGGCCTATACATATTGGTAGTCATATAGTAGGCCATGCACTTCTAGGGTTATTATTGAAGTGGGAGTTGTAGTTGTGGTTGTAGAATTAGTGTATCAACACCATTAGTAGGCTTGTAGTAAACTTGTAGTAATTACTGATAACCCTACCTATTTTTACCCAAATAATAATAGTTAAAGCAGCATTACTTACTTCATCTTTTCATTCACAATCAATCCAAAGTTCTATACCCCTAATGAAGAAAGAAAATGGACCTTTGTGTACAATCTCCCTTCTCCAGTGGTAGTTCACAGTATAAAAGTTTTATTGCATCCTGCAGCAGTGACACAGACGCAAACTGTTACTAAATCTGCTGCTGCTCCTCTGGCCTGTCATCTCCAATCGCACCACTGGGGCTGATGGACAACTGTAAACTGTGCAGTTAGAGGTGCCCTGGAACTGAACACTAGTTTAAAAAGAGCATTTGGCACGTTCTTCCATCTCATCTTTTTTCATTTCAGTTAATTATAACAAAAATGATCTCATCCTGAGGTTAAATACTAAATGTTAAGTAACATAATGAATAGCCTATCAGATGTAATCAAAAGAAGTGAATGAGCTTTTGCAGTGAAATTTGTGGTACTATGACCATTTGGTTTTCTACTGGTAACATTCACAAACAATAAGAGCAAGTACTACAATATTTTTGACTTCCACTAAGCTTTTGGAGTTCAACATAGTTACTGTCTACTGCCATCTTGTGGTAAGGTTGCAACATATCATTATTCAGGCCACTGCAAAATTGGCCTTCCTAGATCTATTTACATACTCAGAACTTTTTATTCATAAGAAGGCTATGGGAAAAGCAAAAAAAAAAAAAAAAAAAGAAAAAAAGAAAAAACTCCAATTGGTAAAAAAAGACACATTTCATTTGGACATTGGAAACCATTTTAAGTTCCAATACTTTAAATCATTTTTGTTTATGTATAGGTCCACATTAGATTTTTAAACTACTACTGTTCTTGTTTTCATCATTGCAGTGTTTTAGCAATTAGATAATTAGATAATGTATGCAAAAAGATGATAGGGCCTCTCCAGGTGAAGTGAAATGGGACACCTGGTTGTTACCATGACACTGCTGCGGACAGGCAAAGGCTCATGGGACGTCAGATGGTCAGATAATTTCACAGAACAGCAAGTGGTGGACCATTTTTGCATCTTCAAGGAATTTATTTGTCACCCAACAAGAAGCTACAAGAGCATTTTAGATAATTTTGTTGTAGTGAACATTTCTGTGCTGGAATCCGCAGAGTCTCAGGTGTAAAATATTGATAGTGCAACAGGTGTGTTTTTGGAGCAGGTCTGGGGCCTTCTGATCCATGTATCACGCAACAAGGGGCTGCCAGCACCCCCATCCCCGGCCCAACCACGGACCCCAGCACTGGTGAGTCTGTCTATTATAACACCATCAACTAGGCTTATTGGTTGATTTGGTTTGATTCTCAAAGTTATGGTTGGTGTGCATGTTCAGATCTGTTATTAAGACCCAGAAATACTATAAAAGGCCTATATATATATATATATATATATATATATATATATATATATATATATATATATATATATATATATATACACACACACACACACACACACACATATATATATATATATATATATATATATACACACACACACACACACACTATAAAAGGACAGAAATAGTATGAATACTTTAAATGTGATTGGATATTCACCCTTATCTGCAAGATTAAAAGTAGGGCGTACACGTACAGACATTGTATCCTGTCACAGTTGTTATCTCTACTCTTATGTGATTGACTTTCTCTCTTGCTACATACCTATATAACCATTCTATAACTCTATTGTGGAATATTGTGGTCTATTGTGGAAAACAGCCTAGTGAATGTTATTGTTTGTGTCCCACAGATGCAGTAGGTGCCACTCCTCCGGGGGCAGGAGGAGGAGAGCGAGGCGCGGATGGGGCACAAGCTGGCACTCCAGTCCACAAGGAGCTCTGGTTCATTGTTGTTATGGCAGCCATCGCCCTCTTGGTGCTGGCCATTGCCATTGCTATTGTGTTGAATAAGGTGTGTTCCAAAACATTACAATGAATCCTTGGTTGTGACTCAAATACATGCAAGGACTGAAACTTATTTTGCTGCTCCAGGCCCTGAATAAGCCCCCCTTCAGCAGAGAGAGGCCCCCACTGGTGGCAATAACCATGGAGAAAAGGAGCCCCATGGCAGTGTACCCACCCAGCAACTCTATGTTGGTGAGCCAGGACCAGAAAACACAAGAAACAGACACGTCTATCTAATGTATAAAGTGTTGCTAGGTTCACTGCTGTATTCTTATAGGAATGATTAACTGACCTCCAGTTCAGCTAATTTATTTACGCAGGTCATATATTCATACCTCTCGTGCACAAAGATATATACATATTTACATGTGTATATTTATATATATATATATATTTTTTTTTTCAGTTTGACACAGTGCCGGACACAACTGCCTTTTCCAACAGTGTTACCCTCAAAGGCTTCACCCTAAAGATAGAGGTACAAAAACTCCTCATTATTATGTATGGTCCTGACATGTTGCTGACAGTACTGTGTTTGTCCACCAGGAGGTGATAGAAGCCAAATGTGAGGAGGACCTCGCAAATGGTGAGCTGGGGATCTTGAGCGTGAACTCTCTGAGGCGCAGTGTGAGCCAAGTGATGGACGGGAAGTCTCTGACAGGAGACAGTGAAGTTTGGGACCCCAAAATCTCCGGCCATGACAGCGGGATGGTGAGGGACCCTAAAAATGTATGCCAAATGGATGCAAAAGCCAGGGTGCTTGGTGTGTTTCTCAATGTTAATTATTTGGCTTTATCTTTCAGTTTATGGAGGATGAGGAGTTTGTAGACACAATCAAAGGCTTCAGTACAGTGAAGAAGGAGCACACCATGTTCACTGATACTAACCTGTGACCTGGGAATGACCTTTGAACTCAAAGGATCCTAACTAATTCTGTAAATCCATATACGCATGTGAGATGTAGGCTCTTTGTTCTTTGGACAGAAATAGACTTTAAGATTTGTATATCTGTCACAAAACCAAAGCTATAAAGTATGAAGCATGAGTATTATGAACTTGATACTATAATTTATATTTGTTTTTTGTAATTTGTTAAAAAATGGACACTACTTTTAAACAGAATTATTATCACTATCAGTAATATTTGCATAAATAGCATATGGCATCTGAACACAAAACAAGTGTATATCTTACATATCTTCTTGGTGGAGGTCTTACCATATGTGCCATTTATCTGTTTGCCTTTTCCAGTCTGATTTAACATCTCCAGTAACACTGCATGTAAAACCTAATTCAAACACTGTTTTGATACACAATAAAGTAATAAGTAGTAATAAAGTCAATGGAAGGTCTTCACAGTTTTTATTTGAAATGAGCTGAAATGCGGGCACAAACACTGGTACCGTTACAGTCAATAATAAGGTTATAAAACAAACATTTACATAATAAATTAATGTACTGTGGTACCACATGATGAGACAGTAAACATAAAACCCCTTCACTAGGGGATGACAAGTATTAAAAACAAAAGGTTTGTCCGTTTAATGTACAAAATGATCAGGCATTTTCAAAGGAGGCCTTGTCTCCTGGCTTGTTATGATAAAAATATAAATCTTTAAATTGTCATTTCGACTTGTTGATATGTTACATGCTAAACACCTTTCAGTGACATTCAACAAACTGCAATCCAATAGTAAGACATGTACATTTTGAGTAATTTGTTTCAATCTTTTTAAAAATTGCTATTATTCCTTTATATTTTCCTTTTTTTATGAATTTTTGACCATCATTACAACATGCTGTCATCCCTTTTTTGGTTGATTCAAACACTAATTTTGTTTCGAACTGTAAAGTGCATGCAGCTCATGCTAGTTTTCAATGTTCAGCGCTGGCAACATTAGAAACAACTGCTACATACAGTATAATAATGCACCATTATTGATGCTTGTCTGTGCATTGGAACAGCTCAAAATAAACCATTGGAACCACAACTGCAGAATTCCTTATCCAGCATCTTTACATTCCCTTTTTCATTATATGATTAAATTACCAATGATTAAATAACTATTTTATGTGAATGGTATGTTTAGTGTCAGAGCAAACAAGTATTCAAGTTTGAAGCATATCCATTCCTATTGCTATTACTTTACTAAAACTACAAGAGTGCATTTTGCTTGATAATATTAATGTCATTGAATTCATCATCGTCTGTGCAGCTAGTTGGTAAATATATTTCCTGCTAAAACAATGATAGCACAGTCTCTGTTTGACACTATAACACTGATGGAGGTACCTGAGATCTACTCTAGACCTGACCATGTGTGGAGCACCTGTGTTAGCTGGTGACCTATAAAGTAAAGTAGACATGCATTTCATATTTACTGCTATAATGTTAATTCATGACGTTTTGTCTAGTGATGTTAGTGTAAATTGTATGGAAGCTCTTAAATCTTGATACATTATTTTCTAAATCAGCAACACTGACAAAACTAGCAAAATGTACAACCACCAATGGCTTCACTACTGCATGAGAAAGACAAAAATATGCACGATATCAAGATGAGAGAAAATACAAGCTAAACCACAATAAAATGAGATGGCTTTAAAGAGACTAGCATGAGGTATTACATGTAAAAAGAGGGAGTGAGTAGGTGGGAAGGATCTCTAGGCATAATATACAAATGAGTCGTGAAAGCGGTTACTGAAAGATGTCTCCAAATCCAATTCAAAAATATATCATTTGTTCACTCAGCAAGTCTTTCAGTTTAGTTTCCCTTTTCAAAAACTACAAACTGTGCAATATGTATACAAAATATTTCATTACAACATTCCATCAAAAAGCAAAAATCAAGTGTCATTCTTAAAACCACATGCAAGAATTAAAGGGCTTTCTTTTCGGTCCTTAACAAGCAGCTTCATTCTCATTAAATAAATACATACCATTACCATCAAGATTGCGGGCAGCTTGTACCAAACCCAGTTTGGACGTGGTCAAGCATTAAGTACCAAGATGCAAATGCGATTACAAAACAAACCTACCTCTTAGCCAGAAAAGCTTTTCAAAATCACCTAAAATAATGCTGGATTTAAAACAATTTAGGAAAATATTTCAGCTAATACTGATTACTGGCATCAGACTTTATAAGAATATAGCGATCAGGCATTAAAAAGTTAAAAGGTATCAGCTAAAATAATCTTTTAGTTAAAAATAAATGAGTTTTCAAATGCCACAAGGGAAAAGTTGGTTTAAAATCGGAAGGCTGGGATTTAGAGTTCATTTTGGGTAATACCAGAATCCTCAGTGATGTTTCTTTGAGGCGCTGGAAACAGGAGGTGGATCAGAGCCTTTACGTTGGACACAGAACTGTGGAAACACAAAACTATAATGTCACAAAGCAGTGGTTTATCATTTTATTAACAAACTAACTATGGGAGAGGAGATGAGAAACTGTATCAACTACAGGTTAAGGGTGAACCAGGAAGTGCTGCTACAAGCTGGAGAAAGAAGAAAATGTACAAACACGTGTCAATAATGTGAAGGCTGTTTGCAACTTTCTGAGAAAAATTCCATGCAATTATTTCTTATATCTAAGAAGCAGACTAGATGTTGGGAGGTCACAGTGAGTCTGTGTGGTCACATGTTTCAGGTAAATATATTGCACATGATAAAATAAAAACGGGTGTAACTGGTTCATATTACGCAAAGATCACAGCATAGAGCCCAGCATATTTTAGTGTTCTGTAGTAGTGGTCTGGTGAAATATTTGGTTGGATGATAAATATAATACAAATAATATACACATTTGGCATAGTCAGCAAAAATAAATTTAGTTACTATGTGTTCCGTAGTACCACTGTAGAACAACAAATATGCCCCATGTGAAGCAGTAATTTTAAGTTATTGACACATGTCTCTACAGTGTGACAAAAGATTCACATGTTTTAGGAAAAGTGCGCGTTTGACAGTGGCACAAGAGCTACAGGGAAGAGAGAGAAAGGGAGGGCTCCTGCTGTGAGGAGAAGGTGCTTCTATTGAGGAAAATGAAAAGGACAAAGAGGTTTTTCAGACAGCGCTGAAAGAGAAGTCTGTGTTAATGTGTTTGAGGCTCACAAACCTGTTTCCAAGGCTCTCAAACCAGAGCTACCAGAGGACAGCACAGACAGAGACAAGGGACAGGTCAGAAGTGAAAAAGACCCATTATTTATCATAGAAGAGTGAGTAGAGATCCATGTATGGATGAATGCTTGCTTTGAGATACTATTTTCATCTAATATAAAAAATGTATTTACCTTTGAGGATGTAGTCTGTTAGTAGGGCTGGAACCTTTTCACTGTCGTCTCTCATAGCTTGAAGAACTTGGGAGACATTTTTGCCAAATTAGATACTTCCATATATAAAATAACTAAAGAAGCATATTAAGAAGTGTTTCCATTATTGTGAGATACTAGTATATTACCTATTAATTTACTCACTTTTTGTCAAAATTTGAAGGTCTTCGACAGAGGGCGCACCGGCCTTCTTCTCATAAGGGATTACTGTGGTCAGATACTGAAGAAAAAAAGATAATACGGTAAGTTTTTAAATGTCAAGGTTAATTTTGAGTCTGTTAATTTGCAAATGATATCCATGCAAAACGAACAGCACAAAATCAAAAAAGGAAAATGTGGTGGTGATTAAACAGACAGTAAAAAATAACATTGCTGCATGAATTAAAGCAAAATAAGTCAAGTTTTGGCACAAAATGTATCTGTAAAAAAAAAAACCAAAGTCAAATGTAGTGAAAGAAAGGAATTTTAAAAAGTGGAGAAACGTAAATGCAGAGAAGAAAGAGGGGCACCTGTTTGTCCCCTCCTGTGTTTCCAAAAGTTTGACGGATGCCATTTTGAATAGCATTGGAGAGTCCTTCTATGGTGAGATGCTACAAGAAGTGAAAGGAGGCAGAGGCAAAGAGTAGAAAAATATTTTAACATTTCTGTGTTTAAAGGTGCAATGTGTAACTTTTCTGTTGGAGGGTCTGTCATCTGATTTCCATGGAGATGTTACTGCTATCTGAAATGTTCCACAGTAGCATTAAACTTACTAATGCATTTATTAAATTACAGGTGCTTTTAGTGCTTCAAAAACATAAGCAGCGCTGCCTCTACGCAGATCTGATGTGTAACTTGGCTTGGTGGGGGCACTTTTTTCTTTTCTTTTTTTTCTCTATGGAAAGTGATCCGTTTACTGCTATACTGTGAAGCATTTGGACAAAGCAACAACATCTACATGAAGATGAGGAGGTAACAAATCTTCTACCAGAAAAGTTACACAGTGCACCTTTAAACAGAGAGCAAATCCGAGAACGGACCCAAGTCTGAAAACATGCAGTCTTCGTGCATTATTCTATAGTGTTAAGATCCATGCGTTGAATTATTTGATTTTCTACATGGTTTTTAACATGTCTCACCGTGCCCGGGATGTGTGTGCTGGCTATCCTCTGTCCATTGGATCCAGTGGTGACGGTACTTCGAATCTTCTTCCTCTTCCGTAGCAGATCCCGGTGTTCCTTTTGTCTGTTCTGAACGTCAATTAGCAGTGAAATGAAGCTGTTCTTAACCTAGAGACAATAAAACATGGATAAAGTGTGTTGAATTTACTTCAAATTACAATTAGTGATTAGTAGACTGGTTTTAACGGGGGTAATTTATGGGTTATAGGTTAGATCTGGAGAGGCAAGCCCACTCTCAGTAATAACGGATGTTTTTCAAGTATGTTTTTAACAACAAACACCGGTGATGGAATAAATACCATATTGCAGAACATCATCAAGTAATAACAGAACAAGCAAGTAGCAGTCCCCTCCACAGTGCACCTTTAATATAATATCTCTTAGTATTATCACTTAATATGCACTATACACCCCTTGATTAATCCCAAAACACTCAAGACATTTTTGGAGTACCTCTTTCTCATAGTCCAACTCGTCTCTTAGGGCCAGTTCCTGGATGAGCTCCTCGCTGAAGCGGCGAATGGTCGACTCCACCTCCTCCAGAGTCTCAGTCAGCTCTGACACTGACAGCTGTCGCAACCCTGTCAGTGTGTGGGTACAGGAGAGAATGAATGAATGACACATTGTTTTTGGCTTATCAACAATTCTAATATTTATAATGTAAATATAAGAGCTGCTGATGTCAAACTTATGCTAATTTAGTTCTGGTTTGGTTCAGATTAAATCTTTAGTGGATGTTGCTGAATGTGAAGCAGGAAATTCTTAGAAGGACTTACTACAGTTGAAAGATTTTACAAATGAACAGTTTCGGATTGGATTTGAACAGAGGAGCTTATAGTTTAGTCAGAGGATTTGGTTATTTTGGCTTATACAAACAAATAATCCATTTTACATCTACAATAACACAACATATAATCAATGATGGACTAATCTTTGTGTCTCTCATGCCCGGTTCCCCATGAGGATAAATATTCATAATATATTTAGAACACTGGCTGTCTTAAGGTCAACAGCCAGCAGCACTTGAATATTGTCATGTAGTTTATTATGTAACATGAATGAGCATAGCAAGTGCTGTCAGTTTATTTAGTTTATTCCACATATTGTTACATAACAATATAAGTCTAGTCATGTGCAAATGTGTACAGCCTTTATCACGTTCTAGCCCCTGTGGCCTTTTACACTTCACTGACTGATTTAGTGGCGTCACACAGGAGTGAAAATAGAACAATGACGATCACAAGCTAAAAAAAAAAGCAGGTAGAACTCTAAAAATAGTATCCTAAACAATGTGACAATAACAACATTCCTTATTTGACAGTTAAGTCAGGAAAATGCAGGGTATCCTATTTTTTAAGAGATCTGCAATACTATAAATCTACACAATATCTAACACAACATACATCTACACAAATCTAAACATTTAAAGTGCCACAATTAGATAAGTACCACCATCTAAATCTTTTAATAGACCTATCATGATAATTACAACATTGACTTATTGTTAAAATATATGAAAGCTGGAACAGTATATTTTGGAGCTCAATATTTATCATATGTAATTTATTTGCAATAGTGGGGAGATTTTTGTTTTAATATGATAAGATATGAGCTGTAGAATGTTGACTAAATAACTTCTATGGCTTATTATTAGTTCATTCTGCTATTTATTGGTATTTATTTATTTATTTATTTACTGTCTATTTAAAATGGTTTACTGGAATTATCCTGCTTTATTTAAATTTTGTCAGTTGCTTAAAGTAGTTTCGCTTTATTTATCTGTAACAATATAAATTGCTTCAAATTTTGCTATAGTGACAGGCCTATCTTTTGGTCTACAGTTAAATTTTCTAATTCATGACTACTTCCTGTATATTGTGTTGATATGTGTTATACTCACGGTCCTCGTAGCTGGTGTTGGAGCCTGAGCGCCGCAGCCCGTGTATGTCCTGTGAGAGCATGGACAGGTCTGAGTGGGATGGACTCTCATCATCCTCCGGGTCTGGGGACTCCTGCATCATCTCCTCAATCTCCTCTATCACCTGAACAAAAAGAGACACAATATATTAAAGACAAGGGAACTATTATATTTAGCAGTGATGGCCATGGATCCATTCACAACATTAACACTCCAAGAAATTTCTATTGTACTTATTTAAACTAGCGTCAACATCACTACATCACTCTAACCATTGATAACATGATAAAATGGTATACTGTCAAAATAAAAGTCTGTAAAAACAATAAAATAACAGAAAATAACTTAATTACCTCCCCATATAATTGATAGACAGGACTAAATGTGGGCTATTGTAAATTGGGGAGAAAGCATGGGTTTTGTGCTACACATATTAAAACTTGAACTAATCTAGAATAATATTAAAGGGTTATGAGCATCCTTCCTCATCTTTCAAGATTCTTCAGTAACCATTCCCCCAAAAAATCCAGTATAACAACAGGGTTCCTCGTCCCACAGTTTGATATGCATTTGCTTCTACACAAGCACCTGTTCGGCTGTGAAGAGGGGCTCATCACTGATGCTGGAGACAATAATAGAGTGCATGTCCATCTGCTCCCTCAGATCTTCATCATCAGACAGGTCCAAAGACTGGTTATCTAGTTTCTGCTCATTTCAGACAAAAAGATGAGAAGAACATGGTAAAAAACAACTGCAGAAGAATAAACTGTAACTTTTTAGTCCTATGTCTTGGTATGATGGCATAGAATCTAGTTGAAGCCATTTAGATATAAAATAGTTCAATCCTACTTGAGAATACCCTTGTGCATTACCTCTGGCTCAATGAGGTTGAGGGTGGGCAAATGCAGGGAGCGAGTGTGCGATGTCTTCCAGTCCACTGGCATCACGTTGCCATAGTTATCTGTGAGTGCATTCCACACCCTAAAACAAGGAAAAGTGGCATAGATCACTATACACAGAAATGATGATTTTACAATCACTGCAGACGTCATGTCTCAGGTGATAAGACCGTTTCCTTCCCATTTACAAAGCATCAATGACAGAGCTCATGTGTGGTGTTCTCTGCTGTCCCTTTCTCTGTTTGAACACCAATGGAACAGCCAATATATCTATTATTATCATTATCATTATTATTATTATTATCTAATTCCCTCTTCATTTAGTAACATAATTTAAAGTAAAGGGTCAAGGACAACCTATATTTGCTAGTATAATAACAATTTTATATATATATATAAAAAACAACACACATAAAACAAACAGAATGCAGTGTTTACAGTGATGATGTTGAGGAACGACAGAATGATGCTGAAGTAGACGGCAGCACAGATTCTGTTAACCACAAATATACAGTAAAACTGTGAAACATGATCCTGTCACTTTGACAAACATACAGATACAGTCATTTGCTATATCTATATCTATATCTATATCTATATCTACATCTATATCTATATTTATAAACTGAAATGCAAGTATTTTGGAAAATGTGTTCAACAAAGACTGAACAATATCTTCAGACTAGAGATTTGACAAGGTAAAATGTTTGTTTCAAAAGTAGTGAGAGGAACTATTGGACTTTTTGACATTCTGATTTAAAAAAAAAATGAAATCCTTCATTCAAGCTGATTCAAATCATTCCTAAGTATGTGACTAATTTCCAGCATGAAGAGACGTGACTTTCTTAAATGGAAAAAGTCAGCCCCAAACGACAAATATTAAGGCACTGTACATTTTTAGGTTTACTTCAAATGTTAACACGTGTTGTTCTAGCTCCTGGCTCCTCTGATCAGTGAGCCGAGGAGGGATGCTGTGAACCCATGTGTCACATCGACTCTACATCGTGATCTTGCGCACACACACAAACACACACACAGTCAGGCTAATGTTTATGTAACCTCCATGTTTCTCCCTGAAGGGGTCACACACGGCTTGGGAGCAGGGGGCTGTGGAGCTGAGCTAAAAAAGGCAACAGTGACTGGCAAAGAATAATATATTTTGTGCTCCAAGCTGACACTGTCCTGGGCATGTGAGTGGCTGCCAAAAACACAATTTAATTTGGCATCACTTAAAGCTTTAAAGATTTAAAAGCAGAGTTGAAAGGAATTAAAAACAAATATTGCTTTTGGTTGGGTAATCATTCATGTGTCTGTGTGATAATAAATTACATCTTGTGCAAAATTCAATTAACCTCATTAGTTAAGTATCCTTTAAAAACAGTGTAAACATTCACAAATGCTAGTACTTCTTGTCATCTTGCAGCTTTTTACTTAGAGAACTTGTTAATCATCAAGGCACGTTGAAATAAGGGTAGTCTGCCAGAAAAGACTTTGGCTAGTCTTTGGGCTGCAGGCTGCTTTCCAGTATTTTGCTCAGTTGAAAGTACTCAAAATGCCACTGTTAAACAGGAAACTGAACCCCATGAATATTGCAAAAAGGAAGACTGTTTTAAATTTTATGCAAGAGGAAGATGAATCATGCACTGTAATGTAAGTTGGTGTGGCGAGAGGAACAAAATATTGTAACATGTCATAACAAAATTGAGACATTTATTGTGGCAAATGATTAGAGCTAACAAGTCAACCATAGCTTAAAGACAAGAACAAATGGAATCATACAATGAACAATATATAACAAATAGCAATATAAACTACAGTATAAGACCTGTCAATCTCAGCACTCAGGAATTCCTATGCAACATTTTGTTAACGTGGCAGACAGGACCCACCTACCAAACTGGAAAGTTTATTAACCTCAAAAAACATCTGCCAAAACTTGGGATTGACAAAGTCTCTCTCAAAATAGAAAGTATACATCTATTTTCTCGACCTCTGCTACAACACAAATAACTGTAGGCTTGAGCTTATTATTGTGCATTAAAAGATTTCTAGTTAATATTTCCTTTTAAAAATACTGCGAAATAACAAGAATTAAACAAGTAAAACAACTGTGTGAAACGATAAACAGGGTTATATTGAGCTTTGGTTAGCTGAAGATGCTAATACGACTAGCTAAGACTAAAAAGTTACAGCTAGCTTAGCATGATGTTAAATTAAAGCACTCACTCGTCATCTTTCAGATAGTTGTCCTCCGTGATTGGTTTGATGGGCGCTATGTTTTCTGTAGTTGTGCTGTAATTTCGGAAACACACCGTCAGCTTCTCGTCAAAATCGTGGACTAGATCTTCCATTGATTTAAAGCTGCAGATCTCCCCGCAGAAGCTGTTGTCTAGGTCGGAGAAATCGTCTAGGCCCGAGGAGGTGGTAGTGGAGTCGGTCACATTGGAGTTGAGTTGGTCCAGCTGATTATCGGACTCTTGGAACGGCTTAAACTCGTTAAAATCTTGCCAGTCCTCATCGAAATGGGCCAAAGGAGCCGCCATGCCTGCCAAAAGAAGCCGGGGCAGCCTCTGTGCCCCTCTCGTTGGTTGGTACCGCTCTGTTTTAGGTTTCCAGACAGACACTGGCAGAGACGGGGAGGAACCATAGACTATGGGAGGAACAGAGCAGCGGCGAGGGACGGATGGGCTGTGCGTCATGACGTAAACACGTAATCACGCCCCTTTCAGACAGAGCAAAACAAACCCATGTCAAAGGCTTTGTACAGTACATGACAGATTTGACTGCTTCTTTGTTCAAAATAGCCCTGTGTGCAAAAAATAACAATGATACCACGTTATAATAACTACACCCTGATTAGCTTTAACAATAGATGAATAAATACTTTATCCATAATGAAAAAATAGCCTAGTTTACTAACAATAATTCAGGCTTAGTTAAGGCTAGGGTTAGGGTAAGGAGTAATTATCAAGGTATTCATTATGATTAAGATAATTATTATGATTATTATTACTACTAATAACAAAAAAAAAACAAAATCTATATTGCTGATCAATATGATCCACATGAAAATTGTTGCAGTTATTTGGGAGAGGGAGAAAAAAAAGAAAACCTCCCTTATTTTTGCTGCATGCCATTTATTATAAGCTTATTGCCATGCCAACAAAGACCACAGGAGGGACTGGCTGGTCAAGCAAGATATATAAGATATATGTATGTGCATTACACAACATTGTGATTTACAATGGATAAATCTTAATGTATTAAAGGCTATTGTTAAGGCAACATCTGGTAGTGAAAAATGTATAGTCAACAACACAGGTTAATTAAAATAATGTTATTTTATTGGCAATTTGTGTCATTCCTAATTTTGGCATTGAAGATTCTACCAGTCATGTCTGCTTTCAAGCGCTCAAAATGCAATGTAATTATTCATTGCATTTTGTTTGTATTTAACAGACGTTTTCAGTCTTTGTATGTTCTGGGGTGGGTAAACCATTCTCTTATTACCATAGAAAGTTATTATTTTCCTGCTCTATGAAATGTCCATGGACCATTGTTAAAACCCTGAATGATTTATTGAAAATATGCATACATAACACTTCCTACACAATACAAAACAGTACAATCACTTGTAATTAACACATTGTGAACGCAAACCCCACACAGGATCCCAGCCCTCCCTTACCCCAGAAACTTAGAGATGCTACAGTCAGCCCTTTTTAACCACCACCCCTTCCCACCATCACAACCTCAGAAAGTAAGACATAGAAATCAGAAAGTCAAAAGAACAGCTTTGACACCAGCTTGCATACAGACATAGCATTTGCCACCAACAGATGTCTGATGGGCCAAAGAGCTTGTTTAACTTTGTTATGATTAACCAGTTTGCTGACATGTTGCGCGGCATGGAAGGAGTCCATTCAGCTTTCCAGGCATGGAGATAAAATTGTGTATTAGCTGAGTGAAACAAGTAGCCTATAGGAAAAAGCACTATACGCCTCAATGCTTTGGCTTTGATCAAGTTTGAAAAGTAGCAAGTGCCAATCAATAAAGACCCACCAAAGTATTTCATTCAGGTACACAGACATGCAAAAAGTACATCTTCACATGGAGGAAACTCTTAAAGGCGAGGGGTGGATAGTTTAGACCTGATTGTACGTAACACTTTTTCAAAACTCACTGCACACCTTTTGGCATGGTTGTGACTGTGCATATTTATTTAGTTACTAATTGCAGTGGATAAGACATAAGTTAACAAAATGAAACAAAATTTTTTAAAAAGACAAAAGAATTTTAAAAGAATAAAAAAATGAAGAGTCCAAATGTCTGGTTATATTTTAATATGATTATACAGGGATAGACGTCAACCAAAAAATGATATAATGTCAAAAAAAAAAAAAAAAAAAAAAAATTAAGTAACAAAAATTCAATAAAAACAGACAGAAAAGCACAGTTTTAACATTTTACTGTATATCAGTCTGTAGCAAATAGTTATGACATACCCTGAAATAGGGAGGAAGAAAGCTTTGAATGGTTCACTGACCACTGAGTAACGTGGCTGCACAGCAAGGGGTGTACTGCTGAGTTTCTCTAAGCTCCAAGAGGCAGCTGTACCCGACATGTACAAGGACTTAAGTGTACAGTCTACATGAATGTTGGCTACTGCCCTGGTGCATAGAAGCATGGTGAGGGCTCAGCTCCTTTGCGGATCACCTGTCTGGTATTACGTCCTGCCAATACAAGCTTTTAAGCCATGAGAATGGCCAGAGTGGCAACCATAGGTCTGCTAGGCAATGAACCTTATGGTTGATTTTTGCAGCAGGTGAGAGAGTGGAAGTTCACTCAAAGTGCAGAGGGGGTGCCATATAACAATGGTTTGTGTTCAATCACATGAACAGAAAGGCAGTCCGTGTGTATTATTTTTGAATTGCAATGACACTCCCAAAACGTGGTGGGTTCAGAGTATGGTTCTGGCTATTGGTACCTCTCTTTCCTAGGGCTGTGCTAACTACTTATTCAATAATTACAATCCTCAAATCATCATATGAAATGACCCTTTGCAAATAACACAACACTCCACAGCTTTTTCAAACATGCCTCACTCAAATTGCTTTTAGAGATCACTTTGTTTTCCCACAATTATTTTGCCATGCCAATAACTCAGTGCCATTTGAATGCCATGTGGTTAGGAAGGAAAAAATGTAAAATTAAAGCCCCAGATATATTAAAAAAAGAAGTTTCCTTTTACAAAATGGCTCTCAAGTATTCTTTGTTCCACAGATAGAGGTCCCTATGGGGCTTTGGATAACTTAGAATTAGTTTAAAATCCTCTTTCATTTTACTATGGGATTAGGGGCGTAAGAAAGGAGGTGGAGCAAAACTCTTCTGCTGGTGTGAACTAAACACACATACAAAACACACATCTATGAACACAAATGTCAACTTTCATAACATGCGTAACAGCTCTCATCATTCACTCACACACACGCACGCACACGCACACGCACACACACACACGCACACACACGCACACACACACACACACACACAGAGGAGAGACAGCAATCAGCAGTGTGCAATTGAAGCTGCACTTTCACATCTGTGAGCATGTCTTTTGTAGAGAAAAGTCATAGTATGTGTTCTGACAGCGGGTTAGCCCACCTCTCCAACATAAGACCCTCTCAATGTTGATATGTGAACTGTCACTAACTGTCCTTCTCCTCATAGGCAGATGTAATGGAGTTGTGCGGTAGATAGCTCAACAGCGGGACTCGGGGCTGCCAGTTGTAACATTACAGCAATGTCCTCGTTAGGAGTAAAATAAGGGAATAAAAAGTTCCTAATGATGAGAAACACAAAGTTGAATCTCCACGCTAAAGTTTTCCACGGGCACTACTTGAGCTAAGATTCACCTTTAAATGAAAATAATGCTATGATGAGTATTATAAAAATCCCAACATTTAGCATAGCCATTTTGTGGTCGTCAGTTGGTCGGTCGGTGTTTTTTTTTCATGGAGTATGCCTCCCACAGATCAAAAGCGAAGATAAGCAAGAAAATGGGGAACTAGTAAAACATACATAGAAGAGTTGCTTTTACCCCCTTTGCCCCACTCCCCCAAAACACATCACTCATGTCAATGGAGACATTATACAGGTACGTGCAAGACACACAGGCAGACAGGTGTAGTCCAATCAGAGGAGGACTGGCCTGCAGTGTCTGTCTGGAGGCATCACTCAATGTGCTCCAAGTTCAAGGTGGATGTGAGTTTTTAAGGGATTTTCACAAGGATGACACTAGGCTGTAGCCATACAACAAAATGAGGGAGAAGTGATTACTTGAAGGACGCCAGTGCCTGATGACTGGTTTTTAATTTCTCCAGATCAGAAGAACACATCACTTCTGCTGTTTGATGTCGGCCCTCCTCGATTATGGTATTCTGTTGTATCCTTGTGTTTGCATTTGTTTAATCTTCGCTAGACTTGGGATGGTGGTAGATTTTGCTTACTCAGGTAAGTTTCCTCTCTATTGTGGGATTCTTGAATCTGTAGTTAGAGATGTTGTCTGCTTAATTAGTGACCATCAACTGTCCATATTACTGCAGTGTTCTGTAGAGGGACAGGACCGAAGTTTAAAACATTATACAAACCAGACATACATATAGAATACATAATATTCGAACTGTGTGGAAGGGGAACTGAGACTTACCGTTGAGTCCGTCAGTTTCCTGTGTTTCGAGAAAGGGTGCAGGACCCCAAACGCGGACTGTGCCATCGTCTGAGGCTGAAGCCATGAGTCCGGGGACTGCTGGGTTCCAGCTCACACAGTTAACGGTGCGTGTGTGGCCTGTGAGCTCTGCAATGGGCAGTTCGCCACGTCTGTGCCAGATGTACACTTTGTGATCTAGTATAAATATCAAAAGTCAATTGTGTAACTGAGATAGACTACAAAGAATAAATGATATATATAATGGTTATAAAACATACCTTCACTGCCACTAGCAATGAAGTCTTCATTGTGTCCTCCAAAACAGGAGTGGATGGTATAGAAGCCCTGGGTTACACCTTGATATTTTCTCACCAGCACCCGGTCTTGCAGGTCCCACAGGTGCACTCCCTATAAATATCATGGGAAGGCGCATTTGTGTTAATTTTGTTTAGGGTTATATAAAATAAGAAAGACAACATGCTGAGTATTTACCTGAGTTGCTACATTTAACAAAGCTAATCTTCCATTCTTTGAAACAGTAAAAGACATGATAGGGTGGTCCTCCTGCACACTGTAAAGACATGTACATAACCCATCAGAAATATAACATGCACAGTTAGTTCCTCTGTTTGTTGGTCAAGCGAATACTTTGTCAAATATGTATGTACTATGTATGTTTTCAATTGTCCAAGTTTGACCAATCATACTGGTTTACACAATTTAATTTGTAACCAACAACTGGCTAGCCAATTAAAATAGCTTCTTTTATCCAAACCTTATCAAACTAAAACAGACCTGTTCAGGCACTCTTAACTCCAAGGCTTTATCATGCGCTTTGACCAGCAGTCCGTGAAAACCATTCAAAAGTAAGTGGATTAAACTTGTTATTGTTGCTTACATGTTTCTGTCTGTAAGGTCCTCGAAGTTGTACCCTCGGATTCGTTGGTGAGTGTCTGAGGCCAGCACGGTCCTGCCGTCACCCAGACACCACAGGCACTGCACTCT